ATATATATCATTTTTTTTTTTTATTAAAGTAATTTAATTCTTTAAAGTTGCTGCTACTATACTTTGATATCACTGTACTTATTGTAACAAGAATATTTTTAATTATTTTTTTTTTACTAATATAAATAGATTCTATAGTAGCTCTCTTGTCACTCAAGAATAAACAAAAAACCATTTGCAATTTGTCATAGATGTCAACAAATGTATCAAATGAACTAACTTGTTATAAGTGACACTGCATGCTTAAATGACAGTCCTAATATACTTTAGTTAATGATAAATTTAATTTAATAAGAATTAAAAACGTTTCAAAATTATATAAAGAAGTTATTTAGCAAGTTACAGAAGAATATACAAAATTTTTTTTCTTTTTTAATAAATTATTCAGTATTATAGAATTGAAGATTTTAAGTATTTATATTCTATGCTAATTAATATTATATATTTTAATATTTATTACATTCTTTTTAATGTGATATCATAAAAGTAAGCCTGTAAAGTAATTTCTTCCATTTAAACTATAAAAAAATCCCTTTTATCAACAGTAGTAGCTTATTTTTTATCAAAGTTTCATTAAAAGTAACTCTCATTTGACCATTATTTTATGAATTATTAAACTCTCATACAGTGAAGAATCCATAAATTCTTTTATAGTTAAAAAGTGTCTCAATCCAGATGACATTAAAGAAGAAAAGTGAGGCTTATATAATAATAAGAACAAAGCATCTAGACAGAATCGAAAAGATACTACCTAAATCCTATAAAACCATCTTGAACAGATGGGTTAACTCTATAAAATGGAAGGACAAAACATGAACAAATATTTTTTCAATTCTGACAATCTTGAAATTTTTATCAGAAACCAATAAATGAAACTTTCTAAAAATAACAAGTATGATGAATTCTCTTTGAAAGATTTAAAAAAATAATAATAATAATAATAATAATAATAATAACAAGTAATATCAAATATGTAAAAATAAATACAAGTTACAAAATATGCTATTTACAAATATTTTAGAAAATTAAAAAAGAAAACATTGGAGAAGTTTTATAAAAGTTTTGATGAAAAAAACTTATTATTATTATTTTTTTCAAGATATTCACTTAGAGAATCATCTAGAAAGATTACTGGGAAGTTAACCTAAGAATATCACAGGAAAGAAAGCTCAGGATAGAATGATTTTAAAATACTAGGGATTTAACAACCATGAAAATGCAGAATAAAAATAAAAAAAAAACAAAGTCCAGTTGAAGTATGAAAAAAAAATAACACAGGATATGACTATTCAACGTCCTGAATGGAATTCTGCAAGTTAAGTTTTTAATGAGTAATTAATTTTAAGTTGCCATGAATTATGTTTTTTATGATAATTTAACGTGAAGAATTAAGTTAGATAATTCTGAAATGTGTTGTTTATTTTAACTTATTGCATAAATATATACGTAGGTTTCAACGTTCTTCTTAAACTTTGTGTAATATTGGGATTAAATTGCTCTTTAAATTAGAAAAAAAACAAGAGTTCAATGCTATGTTTATAGAATAAATAGTCTGTATGTTGTACAATGTAAGTATAAATTTTTTGATAAATAAAAAAGAAATTTTCGGTTATATTTTAAAGAAATAAAGAATAAATATATAGAAAAATCTGATGTATGTAACGCCTAAAATTTTATATAAAGAATAAATCGAAATAAAATGTTTTCAATTTCATAAAAAACCAGAAATTATTCGATTACAGTTGCAAAATTGGCGCTATTTTTTTTATGACGTAACATATGTTTTCGCGTCACTTTCGACGACTTGGACGCCATCTTTTAATTTTAAAAAAAATGAATTATTGAAATATTTTTCCATTTATTAATAAATTTCGTATATAAATATCTGTGTTAAAAATCTGTTACAAATAAATTTGAATGTATATATTTAAGATTTACAAGAAAGTCGAGTTGAACTGCAATTGATGTATAAAAATCGATGGCACGATAAGGGTTTTAAAAATGGCGTAGTTTAATGATATTACAAGAATGTAGAATGCTTTGAAATATTTTAATTAAAAATTACTATTTTTGTAAGAAAATTCTCTTAAGGTTACTTAATTTAAAGATATTTAAGGGTATTAGTTTAGTATGTCAAGATGTCTTGTTAATTAAATGTAATTTAATTGGTAGTTTTCTTTGTGTTGTTGGTGCTGATTATTTTTTATTTTTTTATTTTTATAAAGGTGTGCATTTATTTTTGCTGAAATTTAAAAAATTTACTCACTGTTCTATCACCGAGACTTCCAACGATGCAGTGAAGATACGCAGTTTGTCCTACTTGTGCTGTAACGTTTCGGATCGAACTGGGTTCCACAACATGTGTTCTGCTTCTGAATTGAATGTGTTTTGGAATAGGAGGAACTATCCTTGGCAGTTTTTCTTGGCCCATTGATGGATTTTGAAGTATTGAAGGTATTTTCAAACTGTGACTGATGACACCTAAATGATTAATATTAAGCTTATAAATTTTTTTCACTATATAAATTTTCAAAATACGAAGTATATATAAATCTAAAATATATTTTATATTTTGAAAAATACTCATTACTTGGTAAATAAATAAATAAATAAATAAATAAAAATTTTTTATGGGTGCAAAGCGTTCTATAAAATTGGCATTTTGCTGCTATTTCTAGAATAGAAAACGTTTCAAATCTCTGATGCAAAAGATAGGATATAAAAGTATTTATTTGGAATTTTTATCACATTGGCTTCACAATCTACTGACAACTATAGGTCACCGACCTATAGTCTCACAAGAGGAAACTACAATGCACAGCCTTGTCTAAAGAAACTAAACTGCAATGGAAAGAATTCAACTTCTTGTGGTGGATTAAACTTCAAGCTTTCTGCAATACATATATAGGTAATAAAATTTTTATTTTTATATTCTTGAATAAAATTCCGTAAATTTTTATATTTATACACTAAAATTGTAAATTTTCTCTATGTTTTAAAATAAATTAAAGCAAATATTACCGAATATTTTTTTTTCAATAAAATTTCTTTAAGATTTAATTATGCAATTAAATAAATATAATTTGTTTTAAATTTTTATTTAAAAAAATATATTTANTCAAGTATTACGAATGTGTATGTCTGTACATTCGCAAATAATAAAATATGTTACATCAGTTTAAGTTATTGAAATAATAACTAAATATATATATATATAATCTATATATTTATCACAGAATTTTATCTTCCAATAATCAATATACTTTGGAAACATCAAATGTGTGCCAAACAGACAATTGCAAAAGATAACACTTAATGTTATTGGATTTCTGGTTTTAATGTATGTACCTTAAAAGTTATTTATTTAATTTCCAAGAAAATTGTGTTTACTAAGAAAACATAATAAAAATATCAATTAAGTTAAACATTAAACTGTCAAAGATGGGGAGAATACATACAAGATACTAAGAGAAAATACATTTAAAATAGAACCACTGCCGAGATTTTTATGTGAAAATTTATTTATTCAATAGAAACTATTAAGTAAAAAGCGAACTTTTTTAAAGTCACTTTATCTATTCAATTCGGGATTTTAAGTTGATGAAACTATTTAAATGAGTAATACAATAAATTAAATCAGGTAATGGCGATGTTTTAAAAAATATATAGTTTTATATATGTTATTTTTTTTGCTGGTTAAATTATTCTCTTGTTTCACAACTTATTTAATTAAAATTTATATTAAAATTACAGGATAATAAATTTTATAAATATTTATAAAGTAATAAATTTTTAAATAATTTTATAATCGTATATATATT